CTGCCACGTTGACTCCTACTTGAGCCACTCAGACTCCAGGCCTCTGGCAACTGCGGAGAGGGCTTGCTATGAGCCTGTTACACATGGGGCCTCAAACACTGGAGAACCCATAAATCCAGGTTTTATATAACATACAACCATAGAGTCTAATATTGTCCTGATTATTAGCAAAGTCTATTTGTCTCTGAATAATGAACACTTCTAGAGCATCTATTTCTAGCGCATTTACATTATTCTGATGGTTGTCAAACTCCGCAGGTGACTTCTGTTCCTCCTGGTTCCATACACCATTCATCAACCACTAGAAACAATGCTCTCCCCATCACAATGGGAGCTGTGCTAGGTGTCAGAGATTCAACACCTCTGGCTCTGCCACCAGGGTCAGTGGCTGGGAAAGTCAGATCTGGATGGATGACATCTCTGACTTCACACCTTCCAGCAGCCAGGGCCACTCCCTCAGTGCTCCCTTCCTAACCCTACAGTCTGCAGAGAAAGAACAAAGCTCTCCTGTGCCCCAAGATTACACAACTGTCAGAAAATGACCTGAGGATCAAGAGCACACTGGACTCCACTGGGTGTTCTGTTGCAGTCCTTTACAGAAAATGACCTGGAGGGACTTTCCCCAGGCACCATGCCAGGCTCTCCCCACCCCTGAACCCAGGGAGGAGACTCAGCATAAATACCAGCCCCTCTCCTTGACAGCAAGGGACCAGCAGCTCTGCTTCTCCAGACCTCAGGTGAGGATTGACTCCATGGAGTGATTTGCAAAGAGCTTAGTCTTCTCCCTCTTCACAAGCAGTGTGTGATTTCCCTTTAAAATGATAATTGCATTTTGTATTTGTCTGCCATGAAGTTTGTTCTGGGCTGAGGGGACACATGGAAAATGCTTCTTAGGGAATTAGAAGCTCCTGTAGGGAGTGGTCTCAACCTTCCTCCTCCTCCATTGGCGCTACCTGCTGTCCACCTGGACAGATTTGGATCAGGGCTGATGGGGTCAGAATGGAGGGAGGCCTTGTGGCTCTGAGGGAGGTCCTGCTGTAAGGTCTCTGGGGGGTCCTGATAGGATCCTAATGAACAGCAGTGGAAACGAACTACCAGGCTCTCCCCGGATTACAGATACTCAGGGGGGAGGCGCCAGCCTGTCAATGTCTCCTGAGTCTCTCCCTTCATTTCATCAGGATGAAGCTTCTCATGGGCCTTGTGTTCTGTTCCTTGGTCCTGGGAGTCAGTGGACGCTGGTTTTCTTTCATTGGTGAGGCTGCTAGAGGTAAGGCTGATGGATGAGGCATGGTTTATAGGTTCAGTCATGCTTTCAGAAGTGTTGTCCCCACTGCTTGGGATGTGCAGGCCTGGGAGGCAGGCCTTGCAGTCATGACTGTAGTGATCTGAATTCAGCAGGTGGTAAGGCAGTGGCTTTGACACAGCCGTGCCTGAGACCAGTCTTAGCTGGACATTTACCTGACAGTCTGTTGAACATTTCAGTTGTTAGTGAACATGAAATCACCTGCAGAGTTTTACTACTACTGAAGTCTAGACCAGTCTTCCTTTTGGTCCTGGAGTCTTAGTATGGGCCTTCGGTGTGGTCTGGCATGGGGGCTTTCAAGGTCTCCCTAAGTGGTTACAATCTGCCACCGCTGATGAGAACCCTCGCTCCAATGCATCCTTAAGAAACCACCATGTCTGCACAGTCTATTTAGAAGGCTCCAGGGCACCCAGGTCATGGTGACGTGTGTTCCCTCTGTCAGGATAGAGGTTGGGAGTCAGTGCAGCTCTCCCCGAGTCCAGCCTTTGTCTCCTTTCCATGTTGTTTCCTCACTTGTGGGAGTCCCTCACAAGTGTAACTTCATTTCTGAATGTGGTTTGGGATCAAGGGTAACGTGGTGGTGGCTCAGGGGACATTTTCAACATCTAGAAATAAGTTAGGTTGTCCCACTAGGGGAATGTGTTGCTAGAATCTGGTTTTGGGAATCAGGGATCCTGGAAAACATACTATGGTGTTCTGCTCAGTTCTGAAAACAAAGAACCAAATGGCTCAACACGCAATAGGGCTGAAGATGAGAAATCCTGTTCTGCAATTACACCTCCCTTCTTTCCATTCAACACATCTCCTCTGAGTAACTGAAGGAGGTGCTCATCGGTCACACACCAGAACAGAACACAGGATCGCCCCAATGGCTCTCAGTCGTTATCTGAAGAGCACAAGCACGTCCTCCTCAATCAAGGTGTCTCAGCTGCTATGATCACAGGCTGAGGTCTTAAGTGTCTTCATCCCTGAGTCCTCCCAAAGGTGTAGGCAGTCTTTATGTTCACGGGCCTGCTGCGTTTCCAATCCAGGGGCTGGGGACATGTGGCGAGCCTACTCTGACATGAGGGAAGCCAACTGGAAGAACGCAGACAAGTACTTCCACGCTCGAGGGAACTATGACGCTGCCCAAAGGGGACCTGGGGGAGCCTGGGCTGCTGAAAAGATCAGGTAACACAGATTTCTAGGGACACCAGGCCTGGGTGAGCAGGGTTGACTTCCTGAGGGACAGTGGAGGATGATCCCTGGAGCAGGTCACGTTCATCTGTGGTCCCTCCTCCTGCTGCCTATCCTGCCATTCTCTCCATCCATGCCCAGTACTGACCTGGGCTAAGCCTGGCAGGGTCAGTGTCTCTGCCCTTCCTTCCTGGGCCTTCCTGAGCTCCTCACAGTGCCATCCCGTGCAAAGGGGAGAATTGTGAAGGGGCTGTGGTCACACAACCTGCTGATGGATCTCCTTCCTATCTGCCTCCATTAGCAATGCCAGAGAGAACATTCAAAGGTTATTGGGCCATGGACACGAGGACTCCATGGCTGACCAGGAAGCCAACAGATGGGGCCGCAGTGGCAAAGACCCCAACCACTTCAGACCTGCTGGCCTCCCAGACAAGTACTGAGCTTCCTCCGGATTGCCTCGGGAGGCTGGGCTGTGGGTCCCTGAGACCAGAAGCTGGAGTTCTTCAGGCCTGTGAACACAAAAACAGATGTATAATAAAACTATATATAAGTGATGAAGTTTCTTCTCACTCTGTGCTGGTTCACAGTGAAGGGCCTGTTTCTTACAAAGGGCGAACAACAAACAGCATCCTGACAGTCCAGTTCCAGCTCAAGTATTAAGTCAGGTGAACACTCTGCACACACAGCACAGACATCTGAAATGACCTGTTTCTGTCAGACTCAGACCTGCTCAACCACCAGGCCCGTGATGTCACATGGCTGCTATTCACAGGCCTTTCCAGATCCAGGCCTGTACTCTGCATGTCAGCTATGTCCTGTGTCTTCTGTTTCCTCCGTGTGTGAGGAGGAAGAGAAGACTGACTGTGGAATCATGGCATAGCCACTGCCACCATGGTCCTGTGTTCATCACAGCAACACCTGCTGACCCATCATCCACGACATCTGTCCATTCTGTCACAGGAACACCTCGCTGTCCCCCTCCAAACAGTGCTTTCTTTGGTATCTATTCACTCTGTGGGGGTACTGCTGATTCAGTGCAGGGTCTTGCCCACGGCAGACAAGCACTCTACAACTGATCCCTGGTTTTTTAAGACAGTCTCACATTTCAGTGTAGGTTGGTCTGGAACTTGCTATATGTAGACCAAGCTGTCCTCCAAACCACAATCCTCCTTCCAAGTATCGAGATTACAGGCATGTGCTACAACACCACAGCTGGTTTCTATTTTCATTGCCTTATTTGGAGCCCACGTGACGGTAAGATGCCACCCGTTGGTTAATGCTTTCTGGTACCTTTTGCACCTTTTCTGTGAGGAACAGGAGTTTGTGAAGAGCAGTTAGGACAGAGTCCAGTGTTACCAGTCAGGGGCCCTTTAGGAAGGACACAGACACTGACAGTACCTCGAGAAGGGAATTCTAACAGAGCATTTATTAACTAGTGACAGAATTTCCTACTAAAAGAAATAAACCAAGCAAGGTATAATTTTGAGAATGCGGGGGCTGGAGAGACGGCTCAGCTGGCTGCTCTTGCAGAGGATAAGAGTTCAATTCCCAGCATCCACATGGCGGCTAACAACCATCCATAACTCTAATTCCAGAGGCTCTGATGTCCTCTTCTGACCTCCACAGGCATTGCACACCATTGGTGCACTTACACACATGCAGGCAATACAGTCATAAATAAAAAATAATGAATAAAATATGTTTTAAAATTTTGAGAAAGTCCCCAAGGATGATGTAAGGGTTTGTTGTCAAGTCTGTCACCCATTGCATGGCACGTAATGTTTGTTGGGGGAAGATCACGAGGCTGACACCTCCAGCTCTGGGCACTGGGACGGATGGGCACGAAGCAAACCTGGGTGCAGCAGGATCCACTAGGAATGCAAACACAGCTGGGGCTCATGACAACCCTCTGGGCGGTGTGCAGTGAAGCGCTTGCCCACCTACTCCTTCAGAATGGGTTCTATTGAGTCAGATGTGAAATATGTCAGAAATGAAATCTGAGTTCCGGTCTAACATCCGAGGTGGGAAATGGACAGGTCACCTCCAGCAATACCCACACATGTCCTCAGTGAACTGCTCAGCTCTGTCAGGACATACAGAACTCTGAGCCTCAAGAAACAGAAGTCGTCTGCTCAGTTGGTTGGGACAAGCTCAGATGGCTCAGCCAAGCTGGCAAGTGAGTGGGAAGACGGTGGGGGGGACTTGCACATCTTCAAAGTGATCATGTAAAGTGTCTCATCATGCCATTGTCCCTTGATCTCATTCACTCTCTCTCATTGCCCTCACCTCCCCCTGCCTCTGGCTTGCTACCGTCCTTCTAATCTTCGCCCTCCCTCTTTCCTGCCACATGTGTTTCCGTACTCTCTCTTTTTATTTATTTAGTTTTCATTGAAATTTTGCAATTTTCCTACAATATAATTTGATGGTATTTAGATCCCCTCCCCATGCATACCTGCCCATATTGCCCCCACGCAATTTACTGTACTCTAACACAGAGAGAGACACACAGAGAGAGACAGAGAGAGACAGAGACAGGGAAAGACAGAGAAAGAAACAGAGACAGAGACAGAGAGAGACACAGACAGAGACACAGACAGATGGAAAGAAATAGTCTAATTTGTGTCCACAAATGTCCTTCAGTGTGGATCCATCCACTGGAGCCTAGTTAACCTACCAAGAGTTCCATGAAGGAGCCTATGTCTGCCCCTCCCAGAAGCCATCTGTTGCAAATATTTCCTTAAGCAGCATTGAGGATTCTTTCCCATTTCCCCGTGTCAATACTGGGATTTAGTCTGGTTGGAGCTTGCATGGGATTTGTGCATGCTGTCTGTCACCATTGCTGAGTTCACATCAGTATCCGACCAGTTGTTGGGAAAACTCTGTGCCCTGTGATCACTCACAATCTCTAGCTCTTACAATTTTCAGGCTTCCTCATCCACAATCATCCCTGAGTCTTGGGAAGCAGAGGTTGGATACGGGAGTCCTATTCAGGGATAAGCACTCTGCACCCTTTGTTCTCTGCACATTGGACAGTTGTGGGTCCCTGTGTTCATCACCATCTGCTTCCTGAGGAAGCTTCTCTACTGAGAGCTGAGAGATGCATTAACCTATGGGTATAACAGTAAGTCATTAGGAGTCAGTTTTAGTCAATAAGTATTTAGTAGAAAACTAGTATTGGGCTCTCCCCTGTGTTCTGTGTCCTATCTAGCATCAGGTTCCTGATGTCAAGGTGGTATTAATGACAGGAAAGGACTTTGTCCTATGAAGCAGACTGTAGATACATTTAGAGTCGTTACTCTCTCTGTTCCCCATTTCTTTTAGTGTTTCTTCCTCCCTTCTTACAGTCCCCTTTCTGCTTTCACACACACACAGATACAGACAGACACACACACAGACACAGACACACACACACACACACACACACACACACACACACACACACACACACACA